AATGGAATAGTAACGATAAAGAGCTGTTGAGTATAATTTATAAATGTGAAAGAGAGAGAAATAAAGATAAAATTATAGAAGAAAAAGAAAATAGGGAGAGCGGAGAAAATGTTAAGGAGAAAGAAGAGAAAGACTTAATGGATAATACTAAAATATTAGGACTTACTTGGTCTCGAAGAGAAGATGTCTTTAAATATTCGGTACAGTTAAAACAGGATCCAGGGCCTGAAACTAAGAGAACTGTCATATCAGAAATAGCACGGTTATATGATCCTCTCGGTTGGATAGCTCCTAGTATAGTGTTAGCTAAGATATTCATACAGAAACTGTGGTTATCTGGTATTGGATGGGATGAGGAATTACCAACACATCTAAAAGATGAGTGGAATATTTACCGTAATGAATTAATCCAACTAACCAATTTAAGCATTCCGAGGTGGCTTGGAATAGAATCGGCAGATGCTTACGTGGAACTTCATGGTTTTAGCGATGCATCAAAGACAGCATATGCTGCTTGTATTTACTTAAGAACAATCAATAAAGAAGGTCAAATTAATCTATCTTTAATAGTAGCAAAGACAAAGGTTGCACCAATCAAACAAATTAGCATACCGAGACTAGAATTATGTGGTGCTTTACTCCTTTCTCGGATGCTAGTTGAAGTGATGGAGACGATGCAAGTTCCGAAGAGCCGAGTGCACGCTTGGACTGATTCAATGGTTGTGTTAGATTGGCTTAATAGCCATCCAAGTAGATGGAAAACCTTTGTCGCCAATCGGGTGTCAGAAATTTTAACTTGTCTAGATGCGGATCAGTGGGCTCATATACCTTCCAAAGAAAATCCAGCAGATTGCGCATCACGAGGAGTTCAACCAAAATTACTTGCTGAGAATAAACTTTGGTTAAAAGGACCAGAATTTCTGAATCAATCAAATATCACATATAAAAGACCAAATAATCTTAACACACATTTGGAAGAAGTGATCAAGTGTCACGTGACGTTAGCTGCAGAAGAACCTTTATACTCAAAATATTCATCACTTAGAAAGTTACTAAGAGTTGTAGCATATTGTAGACGCTTCATACATTGGAAAAAGAGATCAAACTTTACAAATTACTTAAAGGGCATAGAACTAAATGAAGCTTTAAAGTGTTGTATCAGATATTGTCAGAAAAGAGAGTTCCAAGAAGAATATGCTCAATTAAAGAAAGGTTCATGTATAACTGCTAAAGGAAGTAAATTAAAATCATTATGTCCCTTTATTGATGATGAAGATATAATGCGAGTGGGTGGGAGATTACATGCGTCATCTCTTCCAACTCAAACAAAACATGCAATAATCTTATCACCTAACGCACATCTTACATACTTAATAGTAGCCGATGCTCATGAACGGACCCTACATGGGGGGCCTCAACTCATGCTTAATTGTCTAAGATCTAAATATTGGATTATCAATGTTAAAAATGTTGTCAAGAAACACGTAAGAAAATGTATTATATGTACTAGATATAACGCCAGAACACAAAATCAATTAATGGGTGCGCTTCCGTCAGTACGATGTACTCCTTCTAGACCGTTTTCCAACAGTGGGGTAGATTACGCGGGTCCAATAAATTTAAGAACAACAAAAGGCAGAGGTCATCGTGCATATAAAGGATATATTTGTATCTTTATTTGTATGGCAACTCGCGCCATACATCTTGAAATTGCAAGTGACATGAGTACCCAGTCATTTATTGCTGCATTCCGACGTTTTGTTTCAAGACGTGGACACTGCGCTCATTTATGGAGCGACAACGGCTCCAATTTCGTTGGTGCCGCACGAGAATTATCGGAATTGTCTAAGATACAATCAAGTATCGCCGAGTATTTGGAAGCTAATAACACTGAGTGGCACTTTATACCGCCGCATGCTCCTAATTTTGGAGGATTATGGGAGGCGGCAGTGAAATCCACAAAATTTCACCTTAAGCGCGTTTTAGGTGAGTCCACCCTGACATACGAAGAAATGAGTACATTGCTTTGTCAAGTCGAAGCTTGTCTCAATTCTCGACCTATGACAATAATTAACACTGATAATTCTGACGAACCCTTACCATTGACACCAGGACATTTTATAGTGGGTGAACCATTGATCGCTGCACCGGAGGTTAATTACGAAAATTCTCACATTAGTCCTTTGCATAGATGGCAACTTGTGCAAAAGATGTTACAAAACTTTTGGCGGCGTTGGTCCCAAGAATATTTAGCTACTCTTTTGCAGAGATATAAATGGTCTCACCAAGTACCAGAGCCGGAAGTAGGAGATGTCGTTTTAATCAAAGAAAATGATTTGCCACCAAGTCGTTGGTTACTGGGTCGAGTTCTTGAAAAACATCCTGGTCAAGACAATATAACTAGAGTTGTTACTTTACGCGTTAATGGATCATTACTAAAACGTCCTACTTCCAAATTATGTATTTTACCAATTAATAAAAATGATTTGTAAATAGATATAAGTTCATATATTATTAGAAATTAATTAGTAAATAAAAAGAAGAATTTGTTTTTCTTTTATGTTTATAACTTTATGTCATTGGTTATTCTAATTTTTTAAGTTATAATTAGGTTTTTTATTTGTTATTCTACTTCTAAAACTGTAACTAGCTATTAAGTTCTTTCCTGTTATTGTTATTTAGCATTGTTTTTCTAAAGGACGATTTCTGAAATATCGTCCTTGGGGGGCGGTATGTTCACGTTATAACTTATCATTATAGTGTGTCAACCTCTTTTCTAGACTCCTTAAAAAGAATGTATTAAAAAGGTGTAGGGTCGTTACCATGGCAATCAACTTGTTATTAAAAAATATGTCTTCTTGATAAATATAGTTCCAGTACAAGTTCTTTTGGTTTTTTATTTAAAGTACAAATAACAGTTCATCAAGCTATCACTATGGACGTTGCAGTGTCTGGTCTGGAGAAGTTGTTTGATTTTATTTTATATAATATTTTAAATATTCAAGTAAGGTATTTTACAAATATCTATTTGATTTTTTTTCAATTGACATTATTTTAATGCCGCATTCATACCATTTTTACCTTTTAAGTATTAAAATATCGAAAAAATATATTACTTTTCTTTTAAGAACTATATGTTCTTAACCCCTGAGTGGCAAAGTACTTACACGACAAATAACTTTACTTTGCGAAATCAGTCATTTTAAACCTTATTTCTAAAACACGAGTTCACTCGTTAAACCATTTTAAATATATACACACAATGTGTATGAGAACACTATGTGTGTAAATTTGCTAAACACGATCTTAACCGACAAGGGAGCCGAATCCGTCAATAGAGGTGTAAACAACTTTTTTTTTTATATTTTTCTATACATAACATATACCTAAAAAACATTATCCATAAAGTAATTTAAAATCTTAAAATAAATTTAATTATTATATTTGAACAATTTTGCATTCACTATGTTATAGGTTCTTTGTTTGAACAATTTTACGGTACAATACGATATATTTGAATAATTTAGCATTCACAATGTTAATGTTATAGGTGCGAAAAAGTAATAAGTGCTTAAATAATTCCTCAGTCCTGTTAAGTCCTGGTTAGAGCTGGATTGCGAAAGGTTATGAGTTCGAGTTCCATCTCAGAGTACCAGGGACAAAGTGGACTTTTTAAGCATTATTCATTATGAATAAATAAATAAAAAACACGAAAACGCCACTTCTGTCATAGCGTCGCTATGACGTCATGGCACTGTGAAACAATATCGTTCTATGTATGCACTAAGTTGAATTCGTTAGGTTCTGATATGAGCAGAAAAAGCGTGACGTCACGCCAATTAAATATAATAAATATTAAAACGTCTTGTTTAGAAAAGTGCCGACGGCCAGGATCCAATTAAAAGTTTGCCAAACCGACGAGAGTAACGTATTTGTCGTTTTCCCGATTTTTATTGTTGAAATAATTTTGGGATGGGCGATAGGGAAAAACCCGGTTTGCTTACATAGTACTTTCACCCTACAAAATCGATTGGCCTGAGTATAGTTGGGCAAATGGTCAAACGCTAAGCATTGAATATTGCGGATAATAGATGGCCACATCAAGAAATAGTGGCATATCGTGATATGCCCGGGCAGATCTCCTTTGGCCCACGACATATAAATTTAACCTTTTTCAAAGCTGGCCCTGATCGGCCACTCGAATTGCATGATATCACGTGTTTAATTTTTAAAGCGTTTTTTTTTTAATTATTATTTATTTAATTACGTAACCGAAACAACTACCGAATAGATCTACACGTGGTTAAATGTAATACAAGTTTAATGTATGATAATAAGTACTAATAACGGGAAAAATCATGTTAAGATAAAAAAAGGAGTGTTAAAAAAATCCTTTCTTTTATCTTGACATATAAAAGTTCTCGGTTGCCATGATTTTTCCCGTTTCACAATATTACAATAAATCTTAGCCTATAAAGATCATAGTTATAAAATACTACATGCCCTCATTCAGGGCTTTAGTCATTTCTTTAACAATATATACATACACACATTAGTCATTTTAGAGATTCAGTAAGGCAATATTGGACGGAGGTACTATCACTTACACAAGGCATTATAAAATAATCTTCATTAACATTCTATTCAAGATAAAATCAGCTACAAAATTTTATATAAAAACAACATGTCTGTACAAAAACACGATATTTGTAAGCATACTGACTGTAGCTATGGAAAAAATATGTAACATCTTACTATTTTTAATAACAAAATATTATATAGTTAAACTAGCTTTCCGCCAGCAGGTACGCCTGCGTGGTTTTGTATTATACAAAAAAAAACATTTTTTGGATCATTAAACAAAACCTGTCTATTAAAAAGAACCGCATCAATTCCGGACAAAAAAGCGGAAAGCGACTTTGTTTTAAACTATGTATTGATGAAATGCAGATAATATTCAGTTTCTTAGAACATAATTACTTTTTCCATTTCAAACATTCTTAGTGAAATTAAAAATACAATCTTAAAAAGTACAGTCTTAGATTTATCTTTGTGGATTTCATCGTGTATACACCTAATATTCAACTAATATTTCAATATTTGGTGACTGCATCTCCAAAATTATTTGATACTGCGATAAAACGCACAGCCAACAGTAAATCTGTAATGAAATATGTTTCATTTATATCATTGAAATTACAACGTAATAAAAAAGTAACCTCATTCTGTCTGTATGACTGAATTTATTGAGTTTGTATTATTATTTGATGCTGTTTTCACATAATGGGCGGAATAATAAATTAATTACAAAGATTTTTGTAGATATGCTTTTTTCAAACTTACTCTATTTTGATTAATGATTAAATTTCTAATTTAAAATCTACTATATAAAATCTCACTTAACTGTAACTAAAATTAGTTACCATATTCCTCCAAATGGAAAGCAAGTGCTCCAAAATGTCCGAGGTGTAGTAGCTACTTAAACCAATTGTGTTCTATTTATATATGTATAAGTCAAAATGGTATACACTTACATTGTAAGACATCCAGAGAAAATCAATAAATGCTGCAAATGTGGCATCAAGCTGAAACAACAAAATATTATTAACAATGATATTTCTTTATAGGTAATTAAAAAAAACAACATATGAAAAGGGAAAAGAATGTTGGCTACTTCAAGAAATATCCATTGGCTATGTAAACACAGTCAGTTCAAACTCATATCCAGTTGTACTTTGAATTCTAGGTATATTATATATCAAGATCTTTTTGATTAAGAATGAAGTGAATGGTTGAGATGAGAAGTGACTGAGAATTATGAAGGATAAAATAGAAATATTACAAAATTTTCTTTGGAGTGTGTAATCCAATCCACAAGGCTCAAGTGGTAAGTCATCATGGTCCATTCTCCCTATGCAATTTGATTTAGGTATATTGTAGGGACATTACAATACTGGATACTCAGCAATAAATTATATGTATGTGGTAAATGATTTCAAATCTAATCCTTATATTAAAACCCTATTCCATATTAAGTGCCTATGAAAATAACAGTAGTAGTCATGTTATCTAGCTAGTGTTAATGCAGAGATCTTTGCTCCATATAGACTGCACTTTATGTTGTTTGGTATTGTCTTCTTTCTATATTATCTTATGTCTGAATAATTAGGAATCCCCTGAATGTATAGCATGGTTACCCGACAGAGGGAATTGCCTATTGATATATATCGTAAACTATGATAAAATTGCCAAGATGCATCTGTGCAAGCATAATAGCAACATGTTTGCATGGTCATTGTATGATTTTTTTCTGTTCAGTGACTGTGATTTGTGATTATTACAGTACCATAAAAAGAAAAAAACAGAAACCTAATAGGCTTACTAGGTTGTGTGTCTGTCGAAGCAGATTTTCTCTGAAACTAATATATTACAATTATAACTTACATATATATAGTAACCGCCAATCAGCCACAAACCAAATATGAGTTGGAACACTATAATTATTCCAAAAGTGATCATCCACGGTAACATCAGTCCTCTCATCCAAATATTCATTCCAACTACCTGTAAATAAGAAAAAAATATTTGTTCGTAAAATCTTCTAATAACTGTTGAGTTATAAACAACCGTTTTACATCATAGATAACAGTCCAGCTCAATAAAATAATGCAGGTTACAATAAAACAGACATAGATTTTGACAAGTCAATGCATAATTGTAAATATAGTCAGTTTATAATGTCTTGATAGCAAAATATATGGCTACAAAATATGAAAATTTTATATACAGAATACAAGCTTTCTGCAAGCATCTTCACCCACATAGTAGTATATTATACATATAAACCTAGTTAAATCATTCTATATATAAATGAAAGACACATTAGTCTGTTGTGTAGTTTAAAGCATCTCAGCTGACAGACAGCAGAAAGAGACTTTATTTTATATATATAACACCGGAAGTGTTGACTGAAATAACAAATTAATCCAATCTTTTCAATCTCTTTCTTTTATTAATATAATAATCTATGACATACTAATATTCAGACATAATAATCTATGACTGAATGGGTCACTATAATAATGCAATTATAGTTAAGATTATTCTTAATACAAAATGCTTAAAAAATCTACTTGGTCCCTGGCTCCCTGAAATGGGATTTGAACCCACAACCGACATATGATGACAAAGATTGTTGTCAAGATTGATTGTATTATTGTTCAGTCACAAATTCTTTGATAACAAAGATGAATAAACATAATTCAAATGTAGTTACTTACCATTAAAATGGAGAATGTGAATAGGAGTAGAAAAACAACAATGAAGAAGTTTCCAAAAACCTGTAAAGCTGTAACAGGAGAAAATGAAAGAGTAAATAGACAGAAAACAGACATAAACAACTTTCTAGTTGAGTGGCTTGCATACTGATTTCAAGGTGTCACCATCTCTAATCATTATATTCATTTAATTGAAATAGATTTCAATGCAGACACCATAGATTCAATGAATTATGAATGAAAATAAAAAGCAATGCAAGTATTCAAAACAAAAAATGTATCTAGATTTAACTTACATCCTCTGACATCAGCTTCAAAGAGAGGGTTCCATAATTGAGTCGAGTCTCCTCCAGCCATTTGGTAAGCTATAAAAGTTATAAGAACTATACTCATTGCGGCTGTATAAACTGCAACTGCTTTGCTGCCTGTCTTCACATTCGATGACCAAATGCATGGCGACCAACAAGATTCCAAGACCGGCATTTTGATTATGTGTTATAACGACGTCTGAATACTTTTTACTGCATAAATATCTAAATTAATCTGTAAGAATATAAAGATCTCAGTTAAAAAATAATGCCACACCTATTTTTAAGTTCTCATAATTTCTGAATGAAAAACGAACGAAAACTAGGAAAGTTATGTTTTCCAATAAAGAATCTCACCACCAAATGTGTCTGTGATTAAGTTTTAGCTGTGTTTATTGTATTATTATGATTAAACTCAAAAGTACATAACGTTTTAATGAATGACAGGCAATCGTTGATCACCACAGACTTAGTAGGTATCAGACGACCAACTTCCTAACAAAAAATTTCTTCGTAGAACGTGATTGGGAGCCAGTGATACATGACAGATTCATTCGTTTTAAATATTAAAATCTACTATCAGCAAAGGCATTTGGCTATACAGCCCTTTTTTGGGTAGGTACCTAGCCGTCTTCCTATTTTCCATATTATTTTTACTTTAATTTTAATACAACAATAATAATAAAGCAGACTGATAAGTCTAGTTTATTATTATTGTTGTATTAAAACAAAAAAGGCAAAACGAACACGTAAATGAAACACACATTTTTCCAATATTATTTATTGAATCATTTATTTTTAACTTATTATATTTTTAACTTATTATACGTTTTTTTGTGGCACAACCTTACGAAACTTTTCAAGATAATCACAATTTTTTTAAAGAGGGCACTGATTTTTGCATACCTTTTTATACACATATTTAAGTTTTTCTGAAATTTCAATTGCCTTTGGCCAGAAAGAATGATGGTGTGTCTTATCTGTCACAGCTCTTTCCTTTAAGGTTTTTTTGTTTATCGATGCTCCATTGACACTATCAAATAATTGGTCAAAGAATGAAACAACTTCAGCTGTATTTCTTAATGTTGTTCTGACGGGTCTGCCATCCACATAAGTTGCTGCTAATTAAAATATTCATATAATAATTGTATGAAACTTGATTTAAAACTATTAACTGTTAATAAATTTCATCTAATACTCACAGAAATTTGCAGTGCAAGACAAAGCTGCAGACATAATGGCTCAATATTTTTACACAATTTTTTTACCTACAAAAAGAGATACCATATTTAAAATTATCTTCATTAGAGAATCATTATTGTAATTTAAGTGTATACCATATTAACTACTGGTAATATAATTAAAAATACAGGTCATTGAATCAACACTTGCTCTATATAGGATATAGAAGCTGAATATAAATTATTTCTTTTATTTGCATTACCTTCATCTTTTTAATTTTATCAGGTATAACTCATAGGTCATTTAATTTATGACGTAGCCCAGCTTCAGTGTGTTGACAGTCTCTCTCATAGACATAAATAATATCATGCCATTTTGCAAGTTTACCATCTAATATTAAATTTTTTGTTGAAAAATTGTTTCTGATACATTTTATCAAGTGTGTAGAATCATAATGTTTAAATTCACCCCACATATTTTAAGAATGGCAACTGAAACAAAAATTTAAGAACTTCTTAAAACATAGATAACAATATAATAATAAGAACCTTCACTGCTTTCATTAAATCTATTAGTTTTCTTTAATATAAATATAATTATCTAAATATCTCTGTACCAACCTGTGATTTCATTTTAAAATTTGATCACACATAGTGTCTTCTTTTAGATTTTTGAGTGCTGATTGGAAAGCTGAGCCTTTGTCATATATTATTGCGATGAGATTAAGGTCCAATTCAACAACTTTTTCTACTACTGACTTTAAAATATTCTTGATGTTTACAGTAGATGTAGCTCCTTGACAGAAATAGTAACATAAAGGCTGTTGCCACTTGTAAACAGCACCAACATAAATACAAGAGTATGATCTGCAAAATCCACTTTCTTTTCTTGGTGTTCTACAAATCCATTAATGTTATCTTTAATCCTTATTACTTTTATTATACGAAGTGCTGTTTCTAATGACATCTCATCAAATATAATGGAGCATATTTTTTTGGAGTTTCATTTGTCCACCTGAAAAAGTAAATTCAAATAGGTAGGTACATATTATTATTTGGTAGTAATACAAAAAGTTATAAAAGTAGTATGAAAAACCTTATATGGAATATATACACCTCTTATATGAAGCCTGGTTCTATGATCAATTTTCCAATCATAGTATTCAGTGTGGTTTTGGATGATAAAATAAAAATTTTGCTTAAAAATCAATAACATTTTGGACTCTGCTTTGATATTGATAAAGCAATTATCTTTTCTTCGATAGTGAATCACCTCTCATGTTTATTTTTAGAGTACATGCGCACTTGCATTTCAAAAACATTTTTTGCAACTGTGTTCATTTTTTTGTGTGAACTTTTCAAATGATAACTTTTTACAAAACTTAAAGGTATTTAAGTATTCTTTACTTTTTTATGAAAGTTCAACTACGTCTTTGGCTTGTTATATTCTTCATAAATTCTCTGGTATAAAGGTGACAATTGGCTTTATTTGGTAATAAGCTTTTTCCTTTTTGTTTGGGTACATTTCACAGGGTCTGTAACATCAAAAGTATTCAGTGAATTTCTCTATTAGAACTACTATTTGATTGAAATAAAGATACACTAAAGAAAGAGACAGGTCTTACCAGATAATTTAGTTTGTGTCATATTTTAATCTCCAGAACAAGCAACTAATTGAGTAAACTCAGTGGCTGCAGACACAGGAGTCTCAATTTGTTCTTTGAAAATTACACCACCTATGAAATCAATATTGATTATGTGTGTAAGATTAAAAAACAGGATATAATCTTAGATGATATTAGAAATATGTTATTTATATTATAAATTTTTTCTCTGATCAAAATCACTTCTAGCATGCCCGCTAGAGTTAAATAACTTGATGTAATTTTTCTTTATGTGTGTAAGAAAGACAGATCTACTAGACTTTATTAAAGCAAAATCTATGTTAAAATACACCAAAACTGCAGCATGAACTTTGTTACCTAAATAAAATAAATTAAAAACAAACCTCTATTCAGTTCCACTTTCTAATATGTGTGGTCAACATGACTTGTTCTTGCATAGCTGTGTTCCCAAGTGAATATAATTTCTGTAATAACAAAAAAATCTAATGAAGAATAGCAGTATTCCAAAACACAATATAAAGTGAAGATACATATCATTTTAATTACATTATCTAAAGGTAATAGCAGATTAAACCAGCCTTACCAGTATTGCTTGAAGAGGGTAGGCCGATTGAGAGCCCATCATCATTAAACAATGACGGATATACGTCACCCAAGAGTCGTGATTTTGGAGTAATGAATCTTGGTACAACGTGTTTGCTACAAATAACCCTTCTGCCTGGATTCAAATTTTCAGTATCACACACAGCACTAAGACATTGTAACCACTTGGAGAATCTTTTCTCGTTCACTAGAATCTTACAAAGAATAGCGTCCTGTTCGTTCTTTAACAATGCGTGTAGCACAACCATAACACAACAAACCAATTTCCTAGGCATCTTCTACAAAGAAAAATACTTCGAAAAAAGGAGAGTTTATATTACAAATAAAGCGAAGAGGGTAAGCACAAACGAAACTACTCAATCACTTGTAATTCCCTGATATGTAGGTACATACTTTAGTCTTCTTCTTCTTTTATTAATGGCATATCTGCGCATTTCACGCAATTTTGCCAATGTGAAGTGAATAAATTAATTCCAACATGTAAAATGAAAATGAAATGAATTAAAGATTAATTAAAACATTAGTATCTTTACTCTTTGTTGTAATGACAGTTTCTGTCAAGTGTCATGTCTCCATCTACTGACAGGGGTGAGGGGCGTGTGGAAATGTCATACATCACTGGACCCCTACGCGATTGGTTTCTTGTACGGAGTTGACGGGCCGTGTTGATCACAGACTTCGTTGATTATGCGTTGATTGTTGTGGCATGTTGTGGTTGTCAATGTCACGTAGACAATTAATGACAGTGACACTGACACTACACACGGACTACTTTTATTATGAATAGGTAATGGGTATGTTCCGATATACACTACGACCACTGAACAGTATGACGTCAATTTAGTATACTGGAAGCCCGTTCCTTTATAGCTAGTTATACTGGTGACATTTTAAAACGGAACGCAGTCCAGTATACTGTTAATCCTATTTTTTGGCGCCATTTTCAAATTTGTTAATGCAAAGTGAATATAAATATAAAGATTCCCTCTTTTCAAAAGAAAATTATAAAATTGTGTATAAAAAAATTATTTATCAATTAAATCCATCTTATAATAAACTTAAGTATTTTTTTTTTGTTTATTTAGAGACTTATCATTTTCTGATTCTGTTTCGACTGATCACGTGATCAAAAGCACTGCGAGCACCTTACCTCGAAATCTCCAGTGCTCACAGTACAAATATGGCGGCAATTTATGACGTCATAAATTTCCCTAGAGTACTGTAGCAGTGTACTGGTAGTCCATAACGGAACGGATTTTTCAGCAGTAAGACCACTGCGCAGTGCTCGCAGTGTATATCGGAACATACCCTATATTTGTTAGCAGAAGATTTTATTGAATTATTATATCCATGTTATTTACTAAATGAGGAAGTATTTAAAAAAAAACATTAGTTCCCGATATCAAACTAGATGTCACTACGTTCTTGATTTTTCCATGACAACCCTTCCGGTTTTCTTTCATGTTTAAAAGTAAATTCGATAAACAACTCATATTCTATTTGTATTATTTCGTATTTTTATTGATATCTGAGTTTCAAACTTTGTAAATTTCAGTTCAGTTTTTTAATATGTTAGTTAAAAGAAACGGAAATGACTGTCTTTGGTCCATTCTGTTCCTACAAAAATCAACTTTTGCTAGAGTCGCCATCTAGTGGAAGTGCTTTTTTTAGTGCTTTCGATTTTTTTTAATACTTCCTCATAGGCAGAGAATACATTTCTTCCGAATAGAACTGATTAATGTTTTAACTATAGTCAAGTTAACAAATGGTGAAATGACATTTGAATACGGATCAAAAAACTGGCCCTTATAGTTTTTTCACCAGCACACTGTACATTCAGTCACATTGTCCAATAATGTCACTAATGTAGCGTGACACAGTACATAAAACAGGACAGAGTACTCCCAGCTGAAAAGCGAGCCGAGCGAGATATCAAGTGTAAGCGACAATAACATTTAGAATAAGTGA